AGGTGAAGCTGGGCGACCTGCTGCTGCTGGGCCCGTCCCAGCTGCCTCCGTCCATCGTCCAGATGCTGCTCATCCTGCAGGTGAGGCCCCGGGGGAGACGCCACCCCACAACCGAGGGAAGAAAAGAAGGAAAGGGACGCCGCTGTGGACACGGGGGAAGGAAGGCACCGAAGGACCAGAGCACCTGAGCTTAGGGTAGTGTCCTTTCGTCGTTCATGTCCCTTAGCTCATTTTCCTTTCGCTGGACAGCCCCTGAGCCTCTCCGAGGTCCAGGGCGCTGAGCTCTGTGCTGGGGTCCCGGTGGGAGGGAGACGCAGTCCGGTCATTCAGGCTGGGGGCACCCTCCCCTCCTCCCCTGTTCTGTCAGGGAGTCAGGGGTTATAAGTAACAGCAAGAACCCACCGCGACCTAGCTCAAGCCGGACCAGGGCTCCCTGGAAGGTTCCTGGGGCAGGTGGGCTTCCTAAAAAGACAGCAGCCAGAAGGGAGACCGTGTGAGGCCTCTGAGGGGCTTGGCTCTGCCCTTCAGCTCTAGGCTCAAGGCTCCCGGGCTAGGGGCTAGGTTGGGCCCTCGGGGCTAGGTCACCTGTCAGGGACTAGCTTTACCTCCTCAGGCCTCCACTCGACTCCTTGGGGCTATGCTAGGCCCCTGGGGGCTAGTCTCTGCCCTTCAGGACTCGGCTCAGCACTCTGGGAACTAGGCTCCGCTCTTAGGCACTAGGGTTGTCCCTTCGGGACTTGCTTCAGCTCTTAGGGCTAGGCTCTCTGGGGTTAGCCCAGAAGACTGTTTTGCTTGTTTTTTAAATAGGTTTTTATTGATTTGAGAGCATTAACCCCTTGCGTGCCGGGGAGCGCGATCACGCTCCTCCTGCCTTTCGCCAAAAGTGCCGGGAGCGCTATCAAAGCTTCGAAATGGCGTCCAGTTCTCAGTCTGCTTTTATTAGTGATGATGATATTGCTGAATATGTCAGTGTAGTAAAGGTTTCCTTAAGTTTTTGAATATGTAACTTCATTTACTTGTGATTCATAATTTTTTCCCTAAACTGCTGTAAAATCAGCAAAAAACGCCTTGGCAATTTTAGCACAGTTCCTAGGATATTGGTTGGCACTCAAAGAGTTCATTGGCTGCCTCCTGCACGCCCCCTGCTGGTGATCAAGCTCACAACCCAGGCACATGCCCTGACCGGGAATGTAACCAGAGATCTCCTGGTCCGTGGGAAGATGCTCAATCATGGAGCCACACCATCTGGGCAACATCTTGAAATTCTTAATAATTTTTGAACAAGGGACCCCGCGTTTTCATTTTGCACTGGGGTTTGCCGGGTGGGAGGGTGATTTAAAATCCATTCCACTTTGAGAATTTGACAGGACACCCTGTGGGCCGAGCACGGCACCCATGGTCCTTGCCTCTCTGCTCGCCGGCAGCCCCTGAGCCCCAGAGCAAGGCTTGGTATCCTTTCCAGGGTGCTGGTTTTCTAGAAAACCTTGGTCACTTCTGGCTCCTTTCCGGACCTGGCGGCTGTGGTCATTGTTTCAGCTGGTGTTTGCTCTGGCCTGGACTCTGAGGACGCCAGTCATGCTGGGCTTTGGGAACCGCCTCTTCATCTTGGGGCTCAACACACATCTCGTTCCACTGTGACTCCCTTTCTTCTGCTGCTCTGGACTTTTTCATATTCGGTCCCCCTTTCTTTTCTAGCCTGTTCACAAGCGGCAGGAAAATATGCTCGGAGCCAGACAGCCTGGGTTCCATTCCTGTATTTTCTGGTTTTGTTTTATTGATGTCAGAGAGGAAGGGAGAGGGAGAGAGAGTTAGAAACATCAACGATGAGAGAGAATCATTGATCGCTGCCTCCGACGGGCCCACTACTGGGGATCGAGCCTGCAACCCAGGCATGTGCCCTTGACTGGAATCGAACCTGGGACCTTTTAGTCCGCAGGCCCACGCTCTATCCACTGAGCCAAACCGGTAGGACCCATTCTTGGGTTTTTGCCATGGACCGGCTGTGTTCTCCTGGGCAACTTGCTTAAGCTCCCGGAGCCTTCATTTCCTCGTCTGTAGAGGGAGATGACGAGACTGTCACCTTCCTCGGGTCGGTGGGAGGCCTCTGTACTTTGATGGTGTCACGTGCTTCTAGAAAGAGCCCGCGTGCCGAGCGTGACAGTGGGGGTGGGATTCCTTTGGTTGGGGCCAATTCACAACCTTGGAGCCGGGGTGGGGACCGTCCGCCCAAGCTGCATGGGTGGGACCCAGGGAGAGGTGCCATGGCACCCTCCACACACCGTTCTGATCACGGGGACCCGTGACACGTGGCTCGGGCTGCAGGCCTCGGTTCCCTGCGTTCCAGCCACGGGGACCTGCCTTCTGGGGCCACTGCCGTGGACGTGGCCAGAAGGCCCGCTGGCCTTGGTGACGCTGAGTGACCTTTGCCCCTCTTGGATGTTTGTTTCCAGAGTGTTCATGAGCCCACGGGCCCCAGCGAGGGCTGTTTGCAGCTGGAGGAGCTGGTGAAGCAAGTGGTCTCTCCTTTCCTGGGCGTCAGCGAGGACCGCGGCGTCTCGGGCCCCACGTACACGCTGGGTAAGGGCCACCGCTCTCGAGCTGCCCGGGGCCTTGATGATAACACCGCCGGCCACAGTGATGTGCCGGGACTGTTGCTTTGGATGCAGGCCTGTGCAAATGTGTGCACGTTCACCCTCACTCTTCCCCGCGGGCCTGTGCCTTGGTAACCTGCTCCCCACTCTGGGATTCCCCCCGGAAGCCCCCTCTGTGCTTGTCTGGTCCGCATCTCTGATCCGTGGTTTTGATCTTTCCCTCGTGCCTGCCACGTTCATGTCTCCTGGATCTGCTACCAGATGCCTGATGGCACCCGCCACCATTGAGTGGAAAAACCGCCCGGGGTGGATTTCCCTCTGAAATCACCTGGAAACATGAGGCCACTCTTTTGCACGTGTGGTCAGATGCGGTGGGGCTGCTGCTCCTGGCTCCGTGTCTGTAGGTACCACCAGGGCCCGTGCACCAAGGAAAGGTCGGATTTGGGGACCAACCCTTTTGGGGCCGTTTTCTGGTGCCTGGAAAGTTAGCATTAGTGAGCGTCAGGCTCAGGAACAGGCGCCCTGGAGAAGCTAGAGTCGGATTCGTTCTTTCTCTCAGTGCGACCTCCATCTACATAGGGAAATAGCTCTATATTAAGGCATTTTTATCGTCAAAGATGGTTCAGTTACCGTCAGAAACAAAAGTTCCCTAAAAGTAGGAACTTTCTGTTGGTTGTTCTATCTCCAGTAACTGGAATGGTGCCTGGTATACAGTAGGCACTCAAACATGTGTGTTAGATGTATGGCATCTGTACCCCGAGGCCAGGGTGGCCAGCACCCATAGAGGGGTGCAGGGCCGTCCGCGAATTCCCTGGATTGAGGACCTTTTGCCCCTCTCCTTGCTTGACTGGAGTTGGAGCTGCCCTCAGAGCACAAAGTGGAGGGGCAGCCTCCAGCGAGGTTCTGCCCCTTCCCGGGCCTCCCCTGCAGAGAGAGAGAGAAAGTGAAAGAGAGAGAGAGAGAGGTTCTGCCCCTTCCCGGGCCTCTTCTGCAGAGAGAGGCAGGGCTGCCGTGGTCTTCACCGCCCCTTCGTGTTTCTCTGGAGACATGAGCTTAACCACAGCCACCGCAGACAGGGTGCTGCCCCAGCCTGCTGCCTGCCAGGTCCCCCCCTCCCTGGCTCGCTCATCACTTACTCATTCCACCAGGAACTGGAAGGAGGCGGAGTAGAAATGACAGCTGAAGGAACCCTGCCCTCCCAGCGGTGCCTGGGCGCCCTGTGGCCGTTCCCTTCCTGGAGCCCAGCTTCCTGCTCGGATGGCCCACGGGCTCACCTCACGGGGCGGGGTGGGGGATCCAGGCCGAGGTCCAGGATGCCAGCAGGTTGGGCCGTGGCGGGACTCCATCCATCATCGCTGGGCCTAGAGCCAGGAACAAGGGTAGACCCAGAAGTTTGTTCAGTGCAGGACTTACTCTAAGAGGCATAGCTCCAGTTTTCCAGCTAAAGTAATACAGTACATGCTTTTGTCCAATTAGAAAGCAGAGGCGGGAGGATTCATTCTTGAACCAAGGACCACCCTTGTCTCCCGGGTGTTGTCTCAGAGGGAGGCGAGAGGGGAGGAAATGACCCTCTTTGGATTGCTTTTATGGTGTTACTCCAGCAAGGCCATGCTGAAACCCTGTCCAGGGACCTTGCGAAGTGCTGCAGGTCTATCCCTGACCAAAGCTGACCCACCCCTGCCTTCTGGCGAGCACGGTCAGGTGAGGAAGTCACAATCAATAGCTGACGACTCATCTGTGTGCAAGTGCTCCGAGTGGGGAAGTCCAAGGGCATTGGTTCCCCACCACCAGGGGACTTGACCTGGACGGGGAAATCAGGGAAGGCTCCCTGGGGGAGGCAATATCTGCTGGGACCTCTAGGATGCATATGAGTTAGCTGAGTGAACAGGAAAGGCAGCCTGTCCCCATAGGAGGGCTTTGCCATGGTCCTGGGGCCTGGCTAGGGGTGGGAGCGGTCAAGGGCAGTTGAATAATCATCTGAAAAGCCATCACTTACCAAATGCCTGGCACATTCCAGGTGCTTGGCATGTATTCCTTTCATCCTGGCACAACCCGCTGGGGGTGGGGACTGTGGTTACCTGGGTCTCAGAGTCATTAAGAAACTTCACACAAGAGGGGAGGTGACCAGGGCTGGGGAAGTGGTTTTTTTACATGTTTGATCTGGGATTCTTGGGCTCCCCTCCCCTCTCTCTCTGCCAGCCAGGCCCATGGGCTTGAGGAACAAGCCTCATTCCCTGGATGTACAAGGCTTGCTTCAGAGAAAAGATGAGTCGGAGGCCGTGATGGGTTGTGTGTGTGTGTCTCCCCTCCAAAGCCGTCATTTTTCTGGGGCAGTGAAATCTTAAATAGGCCGATATGTCAGGACCTAGCCCTCACCCTGCCTTTCTGTAGAATTCCCAAAGTTTCCAGGCCGCTGCCCCGGCTACTTCCAGGGCCCTCTGAGCAAACACAAAAGCCCTGGCCTCCCCCACCCCTCCCCCACTGTGTCTTCAGTTGCGGGAGGGGGGTTGGGGGGGCTTTGCCTCCAGATACCATAGTTCTCTTCCTGACAAGTAGGCATTCAGGGCTTCAGGTGCTGGGGCCTGACGGGGATGCCCACAGTGGCCTGGTGTGCAGGGTCACAATGCCCACATTATGGCCACCCCTCCCGTGGGGCCCAGCCTGCGAGCCCTGCAGATCAAAGGCTGGGAACCGAGTTCCGAACAAAGGGCCAGGGAGAGCCTCACCGCTTTCTTCTCTCTGGGGTGTGAAAGGAGCTGCCATCACTGGCTCTGTGCAGAGGGAAGTATGCCAGAGCTCACGGGGAGGGGGGGCGGCCTGGTAGGGGAGGAAGGAAAAGGGGCCTCCCCTCCCCCACCCTGTGTGACAGGCAGGAGGCGGCCTGGAGGTAGGTGCCAATGGAGGGGGCGGGACCCGGCCCCTCACCCTGCTCAGAGGGCCCCAGGCCCCGGGGGCACTGACAGCTTCATCAGTTGCTACTTGGGAGGTTTTCTCCTCTGAGTGGCAGGGCCTGGCCTTCCCTGGTGTGAAGAAGACAAGTCGGAGGAAGCAAACAGCGACAGTGCGGGGAGCGAGGAGCGTCTGTGAGCTCCGGGCCTCCATCAGTTTTAAGGCCTCCCAAGCGGGTGTGAGGGAGGAGAGGGGGGCGCCTTTGGGGGCTGACCCCACTGGGGAGGCAGCTGACATTTGTCGTGGGGTTGCCTCTGGAGCCTGGTGGGAGTTTAGCGAGCAAACACTGTCTTCCCAGGGGACTTGACACAGCCCAGCGGCCCCTGTGGTCTGGGCTCTGCCCACACCCCGTCTTGAGAA